TTGAGAAATGTGACGTCACAAAATCTGAGTTTCACAAAATGTCCAGCTTTTACGAATGCATTCTTTGAATCTTGATGACATCATTCGGAGGGGGGGGGGGGGTTACACATGAAGGCTATTTCGCTTATTAATGGATATGATATAATTTTACTAAATTGCACGCATATAACAAACATAGTAAGGAGTCTTAAAATCCTCAATCAAATTTGGGAAGAAAATTTGGTTTTGCTGTGGTGACAGCGGCCATATTGGATTTTGTCGACATGTCTTACGCAATGAATATCGCACTTATCTTTCATGTGAATAGGTTGTGTTTATTTTGTAATGCATATTAGCAGACAATATATTTAAAAATCTGTCTATTGAATTTTTCCTAATCAAATTAGACAACTTTAAAGGAATTTTATTTTCCTGGGGTAGTATTCAAGTTTCCAAAAATGTCAGATAAAACTTTGATGTTCTAATATAGCGTACCGTCAACTCTCCAACTTTGATTAGCCTTAGTTTTTTTATAGGTTTTTTTTTAGTAATCGTTTTACGGCATTTACAACACCGATTATTTATATTAGTGTTAATTAAGAGCTTAACCGTCTTTAATTTTCTAAAGTACAAGCTTTGAGAAACAAAGTTAATACATTCTAGCATAGACATAACGGATACACACATAATTGTTAGGGCGAACATGAACACAATGAATTACACAGTGAACAGATTTCAGGTCCCGAATTTTTCATACATGTCATTGTGTTGTACGTATGAGATATAAATATTCATCATTATTTATACCTTTATGTTAGAGTCTTACGCGCCCATTGACACAATTTAAGTCATTTAACTCTATCCGTACGTCGTGTTTTACTATCGTATCCTTATGACGTGGGGAACTCTGTTCCACCACTTCCAAAGAGGAAATTTACTCGTTGATCAGATCCGTACGCTTTGCATAGCAGTCTGTCAAAATGATTTTTTGAGAAATACTGAAAGTTTCAAAGATATCTTCGTACTAGAAGTATTCTAAAATGTGAAGAATACAACCCCATGGATACAAAATGACCCCCGGGCGTACGGATTGGGTTAAGAGACAGGGTGCTTCAACCCTGCCTGCCAGGTCCAACCTGGGCTGAGAGGGATTCAGCATCTCAATAGAAAGACGAAGATTCTCGATCAAAACTCTTCCCACTCGGAGATCAAACTCCAGGTTTTTTCGTGCCACGACAAAGCGCCTAACTGCTACACCATATCGCAACCTAAGTGCTTTCTTGTCGTAGCTCCATTATTTTACCAGCGAAAACGTGACGTCTTCTTAACCTCACTCTTTATTGTGAACTGTTTTCACTGTTATTAAAAATGGATATACGACAAGAAAGTACTGGGGTCTTGATATAATAATATTATATACCCCATATAACATGATTAGTTAAATATGTTTTAGTGAGGAAGTTCAATTCATTTGATGACGCTCAGTACTGCAAGGGGCGTTAAACCTGTAGAATTTCATTACTGCAAATCTAGTCTCCAAGTGAACTTTTTCATGCCGATGATGAAGCATACGGTTGACGGGGTCAGAATATTTAATTGTGGTCTAGCTAAGTAGCATACTAAGTAAAACAGAGTTCTAAGTATGACACCACATGTCGGAGGAGACAACAGCAGCTGTGCTTTTGAATTAAATAGTTAATGATTTCATGGCTTTAAATCAGAGTTGTAGCTTTTACAGATTACTTAGATTTAGAAACACGTTTAGGCCCAGTTGTTGTTGTTTTTTCGGGGGAGGGGCTTGTTTGTTGTGTTTTTCTCCAAACAACTTCAAGGTGGCTTAGACTCTCTTTTTTTCCCGACCCCTTTAATTTCAAAATCAATCTTGTCTCTGCGGAGCAACAACGCCTCAAACAATACCCAATGAGGCAACTATCACTTAGCACTTTCTTGCGACGAGAATTGGTCGCTTTTAAGGACAAACGGGCTAACCCAGATTTCAGGGATTTCCAGAAATCTCGACCTATACCAAAAGTGGGCATTGCGTTACCTATCAGAGAAATTTAGTTTCATTTGTGTGTATATTTGTTTTGTTATAGAGAAAACTCTTCTTGCCTTTTAAAGAAACTGAACAAGGGGCAAAAACTTTATCTTCGATTTTCTCAAAACAGCATTTTTCGGGATAGCCCCTTTGTGCTTAACAGCGACCAATTAATACAAACATTACAACTTGCAGTAGTGTCTCGAGTGACAGTCGTCTTTTAGGCCCACACACAGCTGTGTCCAAACGGACAGCCTGAACTGTTTACCAAACTCACTCAGCTGACGTTGGGGGTTGGCTTGTGATCTGGTGTGGTTTGCTCCTTCTTTCATATCGAATATCTATCGAACTCATTTCCCCCTTTTTGTTTTGTATGTTACTCTCAAGTAACACCTCTAATCTTCAGCTTTTCTTATTGAGCGTTGTAAGTGCCTCAAAACTCTTACAAATTACTAAACTTCAGAGCTGACGGTGTGTTCAAACTCGTAGGACGCATACATTTACTGTATGGGTGGTTTGCAAGCGCTCTGGTGAGGGTTGCTCCTTCTTTTCTATCAAACATCACTTCTCCTGTCCTTATCTCACTTCCTTCTTCAATGTGTTTGTTACTCTCGTGTAACTCCTCTAATCTTCGGAACTTACGAGGTCTGTCTCAGAATAAAGTTTCCCTGTCATGCTGTGCTCACGTATAATTATAAATCGCCTCATTTTTTATATCAACAGAAAGCGTATTCAAATACCTATTCAACATAGTTCAAGACATTTCTCCTTTCGATGTACCCAGGAGACAAAGATATTGGTCAGTGTTTCGTTTGTCCAAGGTCCTGAATGATGTTCTCATAGCCTCTTGAATGTGGTTCTCGTCCTCAAATCACCAACATCGCAGCATTTATTTTACCTTGGGGAAGATGTGGAAGTCGCATTGGACGAAATCGGGCGAAAAGGGCGGGTGTTCTAATAATTCCTACGAGGAGCCCTCGAGAAGCTCGTCCACAAATCTGGACTTGTAAACAGGCGCGTTGTCATGATGAAGGATGACACCCTCTTCAAGCAAATCTGGTTCAGTCTCAGTCAGTCTTTGAGGACGAACCGATAGTCGTCACAATTGACAGTTACGTCTGATGCGACTGGCCTGCTCAGTATGGTGTCACTCATGCTAAAAAAACAAAACAATGTGCATGACCTCTCTCTCCGTTTGTTTTCTGCCGGTGTTCTGTGACCTCGGCTCATTCTAATCGAGCCATTAAGCCGGCTGTCTTTTCAACTCGAGATCAAATAAGTACACCCAAGTTTCATCGCCAGTAGCTGAAAAACCCTAAACCTTCTTGCTCAACACGGATCAAAAAGTGCCGAGCTGCTTGGACACGGGCTTGTTTCTGCTCTGGTGCCAACAAATGGGGCAGCCACTTTGCGAAAAAAATTCCTTGCCAAGATCTTTTGTCAATATTCGGGGAACTGTTGCACTGCACATACCGACTATTTCACTTATTTCCCTGCATGTTCTTCTGGTATCTTCCTCCCTAACAGCTTTGGTTCTCTCTATACTGTCGCCTCAAATGACGACTGGGGGCCTCCCATGCTCAGTGTGCGCTTCATCCTCCGTGATGCATGTTCTTACTGTTTGAATTGATGATGCCTTTTCCCCTATT